TCCAATCTTCTCACACCTCCCTCCCCTCCAGAAAGCTAATATCTCCTTTGAGATTACCTCCCTGTTATTCTATAGATAGCATATACAGACCTAGTTATTTGTGTGTTGTTTCTCTCATTAAAGTGTCTGCTTCATGAAGGCCAAAATTTTGTATCCCTAGAGTTCAGTACAGTGCGTGGTACATAGTAATAAATGCTTGTCGACTGACTGAAACATCTAGTAAGCACCTGCTATGGTCAAGGCCAAGGTACTACATTAAATGAGGAAACTGACTCTTGACCCTGAACTCCATCCACTTAACCACCAAGTGCCTCTAAGTAGTGGTCAGAAAGTTACAGGGACAGTGAATGGGGCTATAAGAGAGTAGATTGGCACAGTCCATTCAGGAACAATGGCAGGTGATTCAATCATGTTTCCAGAACAGAAGGTAGGGGGAAAGGATTGAAGCAGGGGAGAACACCAAAGATTTGGTAAGGATACTTATAAGGCTGTGAAGAAGATGGCCAGAAAGTCTAGACTGAAGTGAAGCATGGGTAAGGCTTCTCTTGAAACAGGAATATGAGAGAATCAGTCACCAATCAGGAGAGAGAGACACCAGGGCTAGAGGAGAGCTGGTAAGGTTATTTCTGAGTTCCTACTTTTTACTCCCTGAATGGATCAATTGTATCTGTCACCCATTTTATGGCAAAATGTTACTGCATCAAATACAGTCAAATGAAAAGTTAAACCAACAACTTTATCTGGACTCAAGGGATGAGAAAGGTTTCATTATGTACCATCTTGATTATTAAGCAGGCTCATACAATGCCCAGCTATGACCTTGGCTTCTTCCTCCTACCATCTGCCTCTGATGCAAAGATTACCTTCCATTCTCTACATGGCGAAAAGCTATGGAGGCAAAAGATGGACTGTTGTGTATGAAAAAGGTCAAGTAGGAATGTCCAGTTTGGATGGAGCCTACGTAGAGTATGCATAGGGATGTATTGTGAAGTCTATTGGAACCAGATGATTAAGAGCTTCAATGTCAAACAGTGGACTTTGTGTGTCATCCTAGAAGCAATAGGGAGCCATGACAGCTTCTAAAGCAGGGTAGTGACATGGTCAGACTTCTGCTCTACAAATGCCAATTTTGAAACTCAAAAGTTTATAAAACTGAATGTTAAAAATTGTCCTCACGTGTAATTGGAAAAAATAAAATGCCCTTTTTAAAAAAAAAAAGCATACCAATTTGCCAGTTTTGTGGGAGATTGGTTGGAGAGACTGGATGCAGGTAGACTAGTTAGGAAGCTATTAGAAAAGTCCAAATAAACAGCGTTAAAGGTCTAAGCTAGGGTGGTGAATGTTAGCAGCAAATGGAAAGAAGGAGGATGAATGTAAGGAATGCTCTGGAGAGAGAAAATAAGTCGTGGCAATTGATTGGATATTGGTGGTGAGGAAGAAGTCACCTTGGTGACTGGAAGAGTGATGCTCTCAACAGAAATGGGGAAATGACCATGGTAAACATTGTGTAATCCAGAAAAACAAGCAAGTGGGGTGGGGCGTGGGAAGAATAGTTCTTTCACTGTTATTTGAAATTAGAGTATGAAGGGCAGACATGAACATGCCCAAAGCTATATCCCATCATGCCTTAAGGACCTATAGCATCATCATATGTAGAAAGAGCACCAATTCTGGAGTTAGAGGACCTGGGTTTAAATTCTACCCTTGCCGTGTACTGCCTGAGTGACCTTAGACAAGTCACTCATTTCTCTGTGCCTCGGTTTCCTCATTTGTAAAGGGAGAGGTTTGGACTGGAGGCCTCTGAGGTTTCCTTCCTGGGCTAGATCCACGAGGCTGCTGAAAAGTGTTCTGGTGAACCCAGACTTGGGGCCACTGTAGTTGATGGCAGATTCTAAAGACCAAACGCTCTACAGAGCATGTGAAAGATAAGACAAGTAGGTGTATTATCACTAATAACGCTGTTCCTTTGGATGACACACTCCTGACCCTGATCTTCGTAAGACTCTGGCATGAGCATTCCATATTCTATCTGTACCTGGAATGCACTCTCTCCTGGCCTCCACCTCTGACAACTCCTAGTTTTCCGCAAAGCTCAGCTGGTGGGCAGAGCTCCAGTGATCTATCCACTATGTCACCTAGGTGCCCAGCAGGCACTTAAATACTAATTGATTTATAAGGGCAGCTAGATGGCAAACTAGATAGAGTGCCAGGCCTGGAGTCAGGAAGACTCATCTTCCTGAGTTCCCCTGGGTAAGTCACTTAAGCCTATTTGCCTCAGTCTCCTCATCTGCAAAATGAGCTGGAGAAGGAAATGACAAACCACTCCAGCATCTTTGCCAAGAAAACTCCAAATGGGGTCATGAAGAGTCAAGAGCTGGACAAGACTGAACAACAAATTGATTGATTGATTGATTGATTAATACATCAAAAGGACCAGAATTAATCTTTTAGAACTCCTGGAGATTTCTAATCTATTCCTGGGTCAACTTTGACCTAAGATAGAATTCAAACAATTCACCACTTACGGTCTCCTATGATGCATGGTTTTTGCAATTAGAGTAATCTGGTTTAGATTAGATTAGAAAATGCATTTACTGACTTTAGTGCCCAAGGTGCCGAGCACTAGGACTACCTACATAAGGGGGGAAAGGATTCTTAATACTATACACAGTGTAGTTTGGGGACAGGGAATGCCTCTCCTTCCCCATCTCTGCTGGGAATCAGAGTATCCACATAAACTTGGCTTTTATAAACAAAGATCTGCTTGTTTAGCCTTCATGAGGCTGAGGTGGGCAGAAAGGCCAGAGAAGATGTCCAAAGTGGCTCATCCTCAACTTTGGTGGCCCGCATGAACAGTGGGGAAGGCTTTGTGCCCCTGCAGGAAGCTTTTCTTCTGAACAAGCTGTTCACTCCAGCAGCGCAGCACAGAGCAGAGGAAGGAAGCAGGGGATCTGGGTCCTAGCTCTGCCTCTGCAACCGACGACTTAACCTTCTCTACCTTCTTCAAGTCCTAACTAAAGTCTTACCGAGTCATCTCCACTCGTCCTGATCTATATCTTGCCACTGAGGCTGGTGACTTTGCACAGCCCTCGCTCACTTAAATCCGATTCACTTGCAAGTCACGGCATCACCTCCCTAATATCTTGGTCCTTTTTGAGACATGAAGTCTAACGACAACAGCTAAAATCCCACCTTTGACAGGAAGCCTTTATCATTACCTGATCTGAAAAATAAAGGAATTCTAAGAAATGGATAGGAGAGGTTTTGGGTTTGGTTTTTAAAGAGGAGAGACAGAATGAATTGATGAGGGGGTAAAGAAAGTAAAACCATAAGGGAATATGCTATTATTGTATCATTTTATTAGAAAAGGACAGTTAAAGGAAAGTGAACTCTAAGTAATAGTAATGATCAACCTTGGTCCCAGAGAACAGATAATGGAGCACACCTTTCTCTCCTCGTGCCCAAGAGGCAGGGGACCATGGGCACAATATCAGGTGAATTTGTTGCAGATATCGTTAAGTGATCGTTCGGTAAACATTTATTAAGTGCCTACTATGTGCCTGGCACTGTACTAAGTACTATTCAGACTCTATCACGCTATCAGTCAGTTTTCCTTAAATATTTTTCTTTGTTACAAGAGAGGGTTCGATGCTGAGTGGGGGAGACAATATAGAAATATAAGATATAAGAAAAAATATCTTCAAGTTTACACTGGAAAAAATTATTTCATTTGAGCATCACAATGATTCTGAGATCTATAGGACAAGTATAATCACCCCCATTTTGCAAGTGTGAAAACTGAGGCTCAGAAGGATTAAAAGTAAGTTGCCTGTGGTCACATGGCTACTAAGTGTTGAGATAGGTGTTGAACCCAGGTCTCCACGACACCAGGTTCAACACTCTAGCCTGTGGATCCTTGGACAAGTTACTTACCTCTTCTCTTTGGACCTGTTTCCTCATTTGTAAAATAAGAGGCTTGGACAACATGATCTCTAAGTTTCCTTCCAACCTGAGATCCTGTGAAGCTTCATCCCTAGAGAGATGAAGGACTAGAGTCATGAAACTAGCTAGTGGGAGCTGGGTAGTTCAGTGGGTAGAATGCTAGGATGAGAGTCAGAAAGACTCTGAGTTCCAATCCTGCCTAAAACACTTAAATAACCTTGGCAAGTGACTCTTAGCACCAGTCTCTTAATCTGTAAAATGGGGAATAATCAATCATGACATCTACCTCACAGAGTTGTTGTGAGGACCAATTGTCTTTAAAAGGCTTGAGCCTTTTAAAAAGTGCCATATATATCTATATCTATAGATATATGTATGTATATGCTAGATATTATTATTATTATTACTGACCAAGCAGGGTTGTTGTAAGGGAAACACTTTGTAAACCTTAAAAGCTGCTGGAAGAAGTACTGGGCTTGTCTTCTGAGGTTGTCCTTTTCCTTTCGTTCTGTGTGACCACAGGACTTCAGTTTCCTCATCTCTAAAATGGGTATAATAAGACTTGTACTATTTGCATTATAAAAGGGGGCACTTAGGTAGAAGGGACATGCCTCCAAGAAAGCCCTTTCCACACCATGAAATGCCACAGAAAAATGAGCCTTAAAAGTGGGTACAACTGCTTCCAGGCCTTCCCTCTCCTTGCCCCAATGTGGAAGGAGAATGAATTTCCCAAATCTTCAATTCCTACTCTCTGCAGCGCCTTCTGGCCCCATTAACCGGGCCAATGAACAACCCAAACTCCAAGTAGCCCTGGAAGTTTTTTCTAGGACAAAGTTGGGGGCGAGCGTGGGGGGGGGGGGCTGGAGGGAGGGGGAGGGAACTAGCTCTTTTATCCAAGTGTCCCTTTTATAGCATTGGTGGACCAGCGGGGGAGGGGGGGTGTCTATAAACTATTTACAGCATTCCTACTACCGCGCGTGCCCGTTAATAAGATTAGTAATTAAAATGCTTGATAACAATTGGCAAGAGTGTTTTCCTCTTTGCGTAGTGGGTTGGGCTGCCCGCAGACTCAGGCTGGGCTGGAAGAGCACCTGAAGCTACAGAGAAGGCACGCAGGCTCCCAGGAACCCAGACACCCGCGAACACCCGCCCAAGGAAGCCTTAAGAAGACTCGGGAGCCTGCATCGAGCGCGCAGCGAGCCGCGATGGTGGAAATGGAGAAAGACCGACCTCAGTGGGGCAATCCCTTGCAGTTCGTGCTCGCTTGCATTTCCTATGCAGTGGGACTAGGGAACGTCTGGAGGTTTCCCTACTTATGTCAAAAGTATGGAGGGGGTAAGTGAGATTTTCGCTTCTCCGTTCCGTGTTGGAAGGTTCCAGACGTGACCGGCTGCTAGTCTTTTACATGCATTTGTTGGAGTTTCTTGTTGCTTTCTTTTTTAAGCCCAGAAGTACAGGTGTCCATTCTCCATCCCCTTTCCCTGGTGGCTTTAAATCTTTCTTCCCTTCCCCTGGAGTCCTTTAACTTCCCTAAATAAACATAGACCAAACAATCGCTCCTCACCCTTCCCATTCTTTTCAGCTAAGTAGGCAACCAGAGACAGAAGAAAAAAGGAATCTTAACAAGGTTCTCCTTAGGCTTCCCCTCCTCTCCCCCAGGAGATCCAAGTTACTGCTGTTCTTAGAGCCTGAGCTAGTGAAGTTGGGACTTGAGATACAGATCGCTTTAATGAGCAGATGAAGGAGACCGATATTTAAATTACAATGGCCAATAGAAGTATTGGATAAACCCTTACTTTTAAGAGTAAGGAGAAGAATGGGAGTATAGTCTTGGCTGCTACATTGCTTTCCCTATTTTGAAACTTGGCCCCCAGCCTCCAGGACCCTGGCCAGCGGGCACTAGAGCCTCCTGCCGGTCTTTGAAAAAGAAAATAAATTGCATTGATCTTAATCCAGTTTTTTAAAAATTCAGTAAAGAGTTCTCAAGTTTGGTGGGGCTTTGGAGTTCTAGAACACTGAGAAGGCAAAGATTCTTAAGCTTATTTCCATACATCTCCCCTCTTTTGCATGTTCCCGTATAACTAGAGCAACCAGCTCCCCATGAAGGACTGGAATAACGTTCTGACATTTCATTGAACAACCTATAATCTAAAGTAATCTTAAACCACAACATTTTGCAAAATTAAAGCATGGAATCTAAAACCGAAGCCTATACTTTTGTGTTTGAAAAGCACAGATGGTTGCAAATATCTAGAAGGTTGTATGGTATAACGGAAATTTTCGGATGCTGGATTTGAAGTCGGAGGATACAGGTTCAAACTGTGCCTCCGACGCTTATCATCTGTGTGACCTTGGGCAGGTCATAAATGTCCCTAAGCCTCGGTTTCCTTATCTGGAAAATGTAGGGATTCTGAATCTGGGGCCCATAGGCTCTTAGTTTCAAGGTCTTTGTGGACTTGAACAGGAAAAAATACATATTTGTTTTAATTTTCCTTTGGTTTCCTTTGTTTATTGTTTTATGCATTTAAAAACAATATTCTAAAAGGTCCATAGGCTTCACCAGACTTCCAAAAGTTTCCATGAGGCAAACAAGATTAAGATTTCTTAGACTAGATGAACTCTGAACTCCCTTCCAGCTAAATCTATGATTCTATGATTTACTGTCATGATAGGAAGTCAATCCAGGTCTCAATGGCCCGGCAACATAATAAAAGGTCTTATGATCAAATCTCAAAATCAGATTACCCCTCCCTTCTAGTCTTCCTCTCCATCTCTCTCACCCTACCATGATGGATTAAACATTCACACCAAACAGTTATTGGCAAAAGGATGTGGCAAACTACTCTACACACTTTTTTTCCCCTAAATGCTCTATTACCTGCATCTGTGGGTGAATGAATCCAGGGAGATATTGTTCTGTTTGCTCATCTTTGGAAGGCATCGAAGTAAAATTCTGAATAAGAATGAAATGCTACCAAGAAAACTTCATGACCTTGTGGCCCCACCCCATAAGAGGATTTAAGATTTACACCTATGAGAAAACCAAAATATTTCACTGTTGTTGATTTGCAGGTGAAGGTAATCTGAGTTTATGGAAATAGTCCGAGGATCAGCCTCAAGGAAAAGAGATTACCTGACCTTTGTGCAAGCAATTAGTTCTTGCCTAGCTTTGGAGAGACAGAATAGTACAGAATGGATGAACTCATACCATTAGATAGGTAGTTAGGAGACTTATATATGAATCCTGACTCATGCTTTGTGACCTTGGGTAAGTCACTTCAGCTCTCTGAGTCTTTCTAGAAAATCATCTCTAGAACGAAGGGGGTGTACCAGTTCATCTCCAAAATCCCTTCCAGCTCAAATATTTTTCAGCTCTGGGGAGAGGAGAGGAAGAGGTAGGGAAGTAAGGCTATTCTTCAGGAAAAAAAAAGTCTGAGGCTCTGTCATCTGGCACCCACTGAAATCATAATTTTTTTTCATGCATAGTTGTTAGTTGTTCGAGCACCACCTCCTGCAGGAAGCCTTCTCTGATTCTCCATGCTCCCCACCACACCTAAATCATGACTCTTTCCTAACCAGTCTCATTCTGCTCTGCTTCACTTCTCTATACCTATGGCATTCTATGGCCTGTATCTACTTACATCCTCTTGGCTAGATTGAAAACTAGAAGGCAAGGACCTTGTCTGAATTCATCTCTGTCTCTCCAGCACATAGCATTTTGTGCTGCACATAGTAGGTGTTTTAATCAATGTTTGATGGATTTGAGTTTTCTAGCTTCACTGTAAGATCTAAAATTGTTGCCAGATTTGTATGGAAGTATCAGCCTTGTCATAAATGTCCCCTGCTTCTCCACTCTCCCCCATATAAATTTCTTCCATTTCCTATTTTTAATAAAATGATGACAATAATATTTTTAGCACTTTGTGTTTGTCCTTCATTCTCAAAGAGGACCATGACATCTTGGAGATGGTGACATGACTTGCAATTGACTTTGATTTGAATGAGGGAGAGCTGTGCAAGGTCACCAGCCTCACTTTCCCCTCCAGAGCCATCTGGGTCCAGTGGCTACATATCCATCAGGATGACTCCAGAAGGCTCAGGATGCAGTGGGAGACCCTGGCCCTTTTAAGCTAAGGTCTTTTCAGGTTCTCACTTTGAGTGAAGCAACACCCATTCAGTGAATAGGCCTCTTTAAGAAGTGAGTCAAGTGATTTAATTTAAAAAAAATAATTTTAATAAAAATGTAATTAAAATAATTTAATATTTAATAAAATAATAAAAAATCAAACTGGGAGGGGAAGACCCTCAGTGTTGCTGGCCAAAAGAGAAACAGTTACTATTTACATTCATTCTGAGCCTGGATGGCCCAAAAAAATAACCATTAAGTGGTGCTTGGGCAGGGACCTATTGTCCAATCTATGAGCTCCAGAGTGAATTGGGTTTAGCCTTGGTCTTTGAGAGAGAGATGTAGCCAGTAAACCCCAAGTGAACTAGGCAGCTTTTGGCCATCAAAATTTAACTTCCTTCAGGCGGAAGACCCTCAGTTAAGGGGAAAGGAGAGGACAGGACAAGACAGGACAGGACAGGAGAGAAGAGGAGAGGACAGGAGAGGACAAGCTGACTTACCCAACTGGCCAGCTGGGTCCCCATTCAGGCAGCTCGTACTACTATGGTACAGTGAAAAGAGCAATGGTTTTGGAGTCAGAGGACCTGGGTTCAAATTCTATCTGTGATATTCGTATGACTTTGGGTTGCTTCACTTGCCTGGGCCTCAGTGTCCTCCTCTGTAAAATGATAGGGTTGGACTAGATGACTTCTGGGATTTCTTGTAGATTTCAGGATCTCTGATCCTGAGACTTACCTTTCCAAGACTGAAAGGACTACATAAGCGTGAGCCATCATACTCATTATTCCTAGTCTTCCTACCTCATAATTAAATAATATGTAAATAAAGTGATTTTCTTTGAGAGGTAGCCACCTGGTAGATAGAAAGCTGGACTGCAGAGATGTAGTAGTTGTAAGATCCTCAGCAAGTCTTTTAACCCCTCTGAACCTCAGTTTCCTCAAGTGTAAAGTAGAGACAATGGTCCCTGTATTATCTATGCCACGTGAATGATGTGATGGTCAAGTAAGAAAAAATATGGAAAATGCTTTGCAAACAAACCATAAAGAATCGTATAAACAGGATAGATCAGAGGTTCTTAAACTGGGGTCCATGGATTGGGGGCTGGTAATTTGTTTTTAAATATTTGGACAATTGCATTTCAATATAATTAGTTTCTTTTGTATTTTACTTTATACAGCTAAAAACATTAGGGGCCCATGGGCTTCATGAGTCTGCCCAAGGCATCTATGACACACAAAAAGACTAAGGATCCTTGTGCTTGGGACTGGACCTCTGATTTCACTGATATAAGGAATTTGTGGTTGGGGGGAAAAAAACCCCTTTCTCTCCCAATACAGGTATGCATCTTTTTGCTATCTGTAGTCTTAGAGAGCTGCCTAGATCACTATAAGGTTCAGTGACATGACCAGGGTCACACAGTCAGTATGGCATCAGGGTAGGACTTGAGACCCAGTCTTCCTATCTCTGAGACCTGCTTTTTCCATAACATCAGGTTGCCTTTGTGACTGTGAGCTATTATTGTTACTACAGCTTCAAACCCAGAGAACCTGCAACCCCACTCTTTGCCAAAAAAGGAAAAAACTCATGTAAATGGACCACGAGAGAGAGTGGGGGAACCTTGAAGGCCATGGCAAGCAGCTGCCTCCCAGAGGGGGCCTGCCCCTAATGCTGCCCTCTAAACAAAGGACTTGTTTGTGAGCTACACAGCCAGGACATAATTCCCAGAATAATATGGGTTAGAGCTCAGGGTTCATTTCTTTGGGTTTCCATCCCTTCACAAGCCTTTCCAAGGCCCAGCCCAGTGGAAAGAATGTTAATTCTGGAGATTAAACTCCAAATAAAGAACATCAGTGTGACCTCAAAAATCACCTAGCCAAGGCTTCACCAAATCCCTTTTTGGTCAAGTCAGCAGGTCTGCAGGATGTGGCCCCGAGGTCTCCAGCAAAGATTGTTTCCAAAGGAAAGCATAATGGAGCTGTCCATGCGGGAGCTGGTGCTGGCTAGTGCACTGCAAAGGCCTGGGCAAGAGTGACATCCTTCTCCCTCTAGAGCTGAGGTTCTTAACCTGGGGTCTGTGGATAGATTTCAGGAGCAGCTGGAAGGGAGGGTGCACCATAGTGTATATAGCACTGGGACTGAAGTCAGGAAAACTCATTTTCCTGAGTTCAAATCCTGCCTCTGAGACTTGCTAGCCACGTGACCTTGGGTA